TGTTTATTTGAATTTCGCCGCTATTGAGGTCCGCGATTAGAAACCTTTCACAATTTCTTTTCCACCATTGCTGGAATGACGAGCTAAGAATACAACGGCTAAACAAATCAAAGAAATTTAGCGACTTGGTGTCGCAAAAAAAAAGAACTACTTCCTTCCTCTCTTCTTCCCTCTTTCCCTTTTAATTTTGTGTCGCGGGCTCTTGTCGCACCATTGCTCAATCGAACAGGCCCATATACACACTCTTTATTATGAACTAATGATTGACGCTGTTAATCCAACCCTACAAGTCTATTTGCATAGTTACCGATGAACAAATTTTATATATATGTATGTAAATAGAATGAAGGTGTATAGTGTTGAAAGCCTAGCTATAACTTGAATAGAACAATCTTTCTTCGAGAATTTTAAACAAAGAGATCGAGCGCGTGAGGCTCACGCGCGGGCAATCTCTTCTTAAAAAACCCTAGGCTGAGTTTCAACCGCCGTCTCTCATGAAGTCATCGAACCAGTAGCTGAACCATTGATCCAACAAGGTGACATCTCAAACCGATTAGAAGACAGCAAGGACATAGGCTCATTCCAAGGAACCTACAACACGCACCAAAAGGATATAAGTAACGAAACAACATGTTCCGACGAAGGAGATATTCAGTTTACCTCATGAGAGAATCAAAGAATCACCTCAAAGTGAATCATATGAATCGGAGTTCCGACGAAGGAGATATTCAGTTTACAAGTCGAGCGATTCTGGACTTACCCGATTCGGACATATACGCGTTGAAAGAAGGATTCTAACCAAACCAAGAAGAATTAAGCCATCAACCGAATTGTTCTATATTCTTGAGCCATCAGAGACATAAGGAGAATTGGTTTGAGACCAATATCGGTTCAGAAATTAAAGTTATTGATTTTCTAAACCGGCCATTCCTCAGCTTGCCTTATTTGGAACTTTCCGAGTTTGGGAGATTGCAAACGTATCTTTGCAGACCAGGAGACCTTCTACATCAACTACAAGCTCTACAAGACGTCATTAGCTCTATCAAAATGCAGAGGATCAATTGGTGCTGCAAATGGAATGACTTACCTTATACAGACCCAAGCGCATTCAATATGATCACACTTGGTGTTATAAATCTCCAACGGCTATATCTTCACTTCTGCAGACATCTGAGCACATTTTTAGTGAATCAAGACGTCCCAAGACATCATATATTCACGCCCAAACTCTCAAGACTCAAAGAACATCATAACTTACCTTATTTGGCCAGATTTCACATTAAAAGCCCAACGGCTAGTTTTTCTTTTAATTATGCGATTTTGTTTTTTAGTTTAGGCTATTAGAACGTTGGGAAAGAGTCCTATATAAGCTCAGTTCAGACCATTGTAAAAAGACACCCTTAATCATCAAATTTTAATAAACGTATTGTTTCTTTTTAAAGACGAGTGTCTTTGAGTTTCTTGTGCATTTGAGTCTTGTGCATTCAAAGACTAGTCTCTCTTGTTCGTGCGGATCAGTTTGTTGTGTGATTCAACAAGCAGCTTCATCCATTTGATTGAGCGAGTCAATCTCCTTTCACCATCCACCTCTATCATCATTGCCCACTTCCGCCAAAACTTGTTGTCTTTGACAACCGTGTGATCAAGGAGTGATTCTGAGTCTTATATCAGTCTCAACCCTTCTCGCCTCTTCGGCGTCTGGTTACGGTCGGCGTCGTGAGAGGGCAACCGCTTGATATTTCTTCTCAGTTCGCCGGTGCTTTGTTCTTCCCGATTTTCCAGATCTGGTATGCCTCTTGCGGTCAGTGGTTTGGAGAGGGTCATATGTGACGGCCGCGTCACGGTGCTTGGGTCGCCGCTGTGGTTCTTTCGCTAGTCGATGGTGAAGAGTCTTCGGCGGGGTACAGCTAAAACCCTCCACCTGCCTCACGTTTTTCGTCCGACCTTCAGATCTATCTCATAGATAGATCCACCTCCTCCCTAACGATTCCGGCGATGGAGCTAGTTATGATCGGCTGTGGAGCGACGTCCTTTGCCGTTACCTTCTTCTTCGTCCGTTGTGGTTTTGTTACCTTTTAATTCCTCTTGGAAGCTCCGCCGTGACTCATATATTCGTAGGTGATTTTGCCTGCTTCTCCTTCGAGATTTTCTGTTCGGGGACGGTTTGGCTCCAGTGGTGTTGCGGCTCTGTCCTCATCAAGAAGATTGTTAGTTGTTTTCTAGGTTTCTGGTTTTATGAGATTCCAGTTGGGGTGGCGGTTTCGGCTTCACCATTGTTTTGGTTGTGGCTTTCGTGTTGTCCTAGTGGCTACTGGAGCCTCGTTCTCTTAGACTCAAACCTAGTGCACTTGTTGCAGGACATAGCGCCTTTGGTGGTTCAGGCTTCTCCTCTTGTCGATGAAGCTTGATGAAATGGATGCGCTTCTTTTGATTTCGCCTTGTGGACAGCGAGTGATTCCTCAGATGTGTGGTCGTTGTGGCATCTCGGGTGTGAGGTATCGTTTTTGTCGAGTTCCTTGAATTGCCTTTGGTTCTTGCGGTGATGTAGCTTTAGATATGGTACTTCTTCTGGTGGATGCTCTATTACTATATCTCTAGGTTTTACGTTCCCGTATATCTAGTGTTGAGGGTTGATGTTAAGCCTAGTTGTTGAATGAGTCTCCATGCGTATGTTGTTATGTTAATGTCGTTTGTTTGCCATAGCTGTTTGGGTTTTTTTGCCTTACCTTAGCGCAGAAGAGGAGTAAGTAAAACCATTATGATTGGTGTAGTTTCTAGTTCTTTTTCTAGCTCTGCACTAGCCGACTTCGGGGTGAACTTGGTAGGGTGAGCTTGCACCGATTGTTTTATTGGTTTTTGAGGTTTCTGCTGGGTGTTAGCTCATGGATTTGTGTTCAAGTCGCTCCCACTTGCGCGAGAGGAGTTTGTGATCGAGAGCTTTGAAGATTTATCCGTTGACGACGCAATTTTTGGATCTCCTTTGAAAGGCTTCTTCTGCTAATGGTTTTGGTCACAATGGCTTGTATGGTTTGGCTCCGCAACTACATTACTCCAAGTCTCCAACTGATTCTCCACATCGTCATCACTTCGTTTTCTCCATTTATCTTCAGATTTGTGTCGAGGGGACGAACTGAAAATCTTACATGATTTATGTTTTCATGTTTTTAATTTTTTTGCCATAGAATCATATGCATAGGTTTAAAACTTTGTTTGTAAGCCTAAAACATTTTCATTTTCAATGAAATATTTACCATTTAGCACACAAAAAAAAACTTGAATAGAATGTACAAAATTTACTACTTAGCACAGTCATACTACTTGAATAGAAAAAAAAAACTTGAATAGAATGTACATAATTACATTAAACTCATTTTGTTTATGGGTTTAATGTAATTTTGGGCCTAGATTCAGATTGGGTCTCTGCAGACTTGCTCCGATTTCGTCAGGATGCTGTCAAGTTGATCTTGTCGTTATATCGATCTCATAGGGGTGAAATCTGACCACTACAGGTTTTGTAGGCGGTCTCGACTGCTTCTACCAGCTTTGGTTTACGAGTTCATCTCTTATCAAACCAAAATCTCCCCATTCGATTTTCCATCTTCGATTGCAGTCTCGTTATCAAAGGCCGATGATCAAAATCATGTCTTTTTAAGAATTCAGACTGAGTTCTCGGGAACAGTCAAAACCATTCAGAATTACCAAAGGCATGATCTAACCGGCATTGCACCCAAACGTTTTCTTTTGACCCATCCGGCTTAATAATCTCTTTATTTCCAGCCCATGACATCTTGTTACCAGCACTTGGGATTTCTTTAATACTAAACTCACGGATCAAGGCTCTGAAAGGATATAATGAAGATTCTAGCCATTGT